GGGTCGGGGGGGGGGTTTCTCCTCCCAGGCACGATCCGTTCTGCCCATCCTGGGACCCCCAAAACTTCCCGACCTTCCACGCTGTGCCGCCGGGGTCGAGCTCCCAATCCCAGTCCTCCCAGTCCCAATCGCTCTGGGGGGACATGGGGACCCTCCGTGGGACCCCATGGATCCTCCAGGGATTTTGGGGGTCCCTCCAAGGGTCCCCGAGCTCCCTCGGGGTTTGCCCAAGTGGTTTCTGAGGGTCTTCGTGGAACTTCCAGGGAACCACGAGATCCCTCGGAATTTTCCCACATTCCTTCCAGGTTTCCCTTCATCCCCTTGGAATTTTCCCACGTCCCTTCCAGGTTTCCCTTCATCCCCTTGGAATTTTCCCACGTCCCTTCCAGGTTTCCCTTCATCCCCTTGGAATTTTCCCACGTCCCTTCCAGGTTTCCCTTCATCCCCTTGGAATTTTCCCACGTCCCTTCCAGGCATCCCCGAGCTCCTTCCAAGCTTTCCCAAGATCCCTCAGGATTTTCTCGCATCCCTTCCAAGTTTCCCTTCATCCCATCCAAACTTCCTCTCATCCCTTCCAAACTTCCTCTCATCCCATCCAAACTTCCCATCATCCCTTCAGAATTTCCTCTCATCCCTTCCAAACTTCCCTTCATCCCATCCAAACTTCCCCTCATCCCTTCAGAATTTCCTCTCATCCCTTCCAAACTTCCCTTCATCCCATCCAAACTTCCCCTCATCCCTTCAGAATTTCCTCTCATCCCTTCCAAACTTCCCTTCATCCCATCCAAACTTCCCCTCATCCCTTCAGAATTTCCTCTCATCCCTTCCAAACTTCCCTTCATCCCATCCAAACTTCCCTTCATCCCATCCCCTTTCCCCCCCCTCGTTCCCTCCATCCCTGGCACTACCAACCCCCAAGGTTCCGAATTTAACCTTTTCAGTTGCCTTTTGGGTACCATTTTGGGCACAACCTCCGGAGAAATTCCCAAAACTTCTCCTCCATTTTTTCCTATCGGGAAACAAAACACATCCCGATCCTCTTCCCTCGGCGACATCTCCTCCCTCACCTGCACCTGCGAGGGAGATGCACAGGGCGCAGGGGATGGAGGTGAATTCAGATATTGTCGCGTCGTTTTGGTCCCTCGGGGCGAAGTATCGGAGGTGATAATGATCACATCGCGACCTCTATCGCGACAAGCATCTAACAACACCCGCAGCGTTTCCCTATCGCCTCGTTCGATCGCATAAACCAGCGCTGAAGCTCCACTGTAATCGCGAGCGCTGGGATCGGCTCCGTGTGCCAATAAAATGCCAACCACGCCTGGTCCTGCCCTCTCGGCACACGCCTGCATCAAAGCGGTTTTCCCAGATTTATCGGGAATGTTGGGATCGGCTCCGTTTTCCAGCAGGTAACGGATCATCCGAGGTTTTTCCAAGGGGTCGTTGTAAGCAGCTCGACACGCTGCCATCAGTGGAGTGGTGCCAGCCGCGTTGCCCTCGTTGATGTAGGCACCTCCTTCCAAAAGGAGTCGGGTTAGGCGGAATTTTCCTTGGGATACAGCTCGGAGCAAAGCGGAACCTTCCGTGGGAATCATGGGCACAGCTGTGCCCGGAGAGCGGCGAGCGGGGCTGGGCATGGCTCAGAGAATGAGGGGTGGGCAGCGGGTGGGCAGCGGTGG